ATCCGGTACATGGCAGAGGGAGGCGTCGACGGGGCTGGATGCGTCCCGTTGCCCGTACCTGAAAACCGTCCGTCTAGTGTCAGACATTAGTGCGTCAGACATTTCTAATCGTTGCGCGAGAACAGTGTTTCGTTTCGTTCGTCTTACGTTTAATCGAACCACGGATAGTAATATTAACAGCCGACGTTGCAAATATAGGCCAACGAAGGAAATTTCGAATACTGTTCTCGCGCGACAACGTGAAATCACAGAGTTAGTTCCATATCAGGGATTGGTGATCTTCCTCGAACGATCGAGGGGAAGCATAGAGAAGGGGGGAAGGTACTCGCAAGAGATCGAGGAGGAATTCGCGGCGTTAGAACGTCCAGCATTGACGGTGTATTAGTAATTAGCCGGGACCTCGAATGTTCAATGCAGTTTCTCTTAATTAAGGTTTCTCGTTCCATTCTCGAGACGACCTCGGCTCGGTTTTAATTCAGCCCTAGAGCAGCTGTCTCGGGATCAATTAAGGATTAGCACAGGTTAACTCTCTCTCTCTCCCTCTCTCTCTCTCTCCCTCTCTCCCTAGAGTCGGGTGCTTTGTTCGATCGATATATCGGAGTGTATCGGATTGAATTGTCAGCGATCCATGCGATTGGAATTATCGTTAATTGACCGAGTTGCAATTAATGAGTCGAGATGAAGAGGACCAAAACCACCATGCCAGGCGCGTCGTATTTTCGAATCTGTTAGCCTTTTATTTCCTTCAATTAAGAAATTCCATTTGAACAATATAATCACGAGAGATGTTGATCGAACGCTTCAGAAGTGCTAGTTGGTACTCGTGCAGTAATTAACACTACGTGAAACAAGCCGCGGGTAACACGCGCGTTCTTCTTCTCTCTAACGAACATATTCGTGCGTGCAAGGGAGATTCATGCCTGTATACGCATGTTGGTTAGTGGTTTAAAAGAATCGATACGCGGTTGTTTCGCGAATGAAATGAACTTTGTTAGAGAAAGAAGGAAATTAACGAGAGAATCGAGATAGATGAGGGGATGACGCGCGTGTGCGATACACTTGTTGACATGCAGCGAGAGATTCCGTGTGTGGTATACGTCTGATTCCTCGGCGAAGAAAAAGAAAGAAAATAAAAGACAGAAAAATAATTAGTCTCCGTTAATTTCATCGACGATCGATCCACCGCTCTGAAAGCTCGCATTCCGTGTTAAGCATCGAAGCTGCAAAACGAGCAATTAGAAACGACGTTACACAACAGCATGCACACACAACAACATCGAACATCGAAAAGCCACGACAGAAATGAAAAGTAAACATTGAACGAGAACAAAAATATTAATAAAAAAAGAAGAAAGAAAAGGCAAAAAGGAAGAAAAGGTTAAAGTAGACAAGCGATAAACGATCACGAAACACGTAAAAACCAAGGTGATTGGCACAGAACGTGTCGTAAAAAAAAGAGACAGAAGGATATTTGAGGTCGGGGGTGTGTTAGTGGGATGAACCTGAAGCGTAATTATATACCCTGTGCTGCTCAGGTTATTTGGTCAAACGGGACCAAAAAGAACTCGACGTTCTCGTGATTAAAAGTGTAACCCCAACGTATGATCGGTCAATTCAACGATCTCTCCTCTGATGTTCGATCGACAATCGGTTCTTGTGTCTTGTCCAGCTTGGCTGGACGGTGAAGGACGACGCATCGATCCCGAGTCACCGACACAGGGGGTATAACGGAGCTGCGAATACCGGAAGAATTCGATCGGCGACCGTACGGTACCGAAGAGAACGAAGGACGACAGGGGAAGGCGGAGGAGGAGGAGGAGGAGGAGGAAAAGAAAAGCAGTTCTGCAGGACGATCAGAACGGAGGAGGAACGCGGAGCGATGCTCTGTGACCGAAAGCTTCGAACCGCAAGAAGAAGAAGAAGAGGTAGAGAGAAGTGGAAGCAGAAGACGAAGAAGCAGATGAAGAGTAAGGGTCGGTCCACGTGGGATTTCAGACCGGTTTCTGTGGCATGCATTTCCAGCGAGGTGGAGAGGGGGCACACAGAGTACCGGAAAGAGGAAGAGGGAGCAAACTGTACGCAGAGCCGAGGTCGTATGGCTGACCAACGATTATGCGATTGTGAGGCGTTCCAACGACGACGAGTAGAGGTTAAATGAAAGAGGAGGTCCGGAACACGCGGGAAATGACGATGGGGGAAGATATAGAGGGATATCGATTAATTAGTCGAGAAAATGATTTTCGCGAGAGGTGATTCTTTTTTTTTTTTTTTTCGGTGTATGAGAGGTACGTGTCCCTACCTTATCTAAACCTTCAAAAGAACTTAATGTCAATGTCGCCGGGTCTGCTCTTATGATAGGTATATATGTGGGTCATCAGGGAGTTACGCGAGCAGTAAACCCGCTCGCAGATGACGCATCTGTACTCCTCCTGTCGCTCGGCGTGCTTGTCGGCAACGTGGCGTTTCAGGGATGCTTTGCTGCATAGCACCTTGCCGCACAGCTGGCAGGTGAACAGCTTCTTCGCTGACTGGGTGTTCAGAGAGTTCAAGGTCAGCCCCGTCATAGAGGTGAGCACTGAAACACAACAATGCACCTCATGCAGCTGCAACCCCCACACTTATACCCTATCCCATATCAAAGGGTGTGACGCAAGCGATTAACTCTTTCTCTCTGTTCTCTTCGCGATTCTCCTCCTCCTACTATCCTTTTCCTTTTGCTCTCCAGCATTTTTTTTTTTTTTTGATTTTATCGCACCTCATCCCTCTCTTTTCCCAATTTCACAATCTCTCTCTCTCTCTCTCGCTCTCTCTCTCTCTCCCTCCCACTCTCGTTTGCTATTGCTCGTGCTCGTATTGTCCTAAGAAAAAAGAAAAAGAAAGAACCGACGCGATAGGTTCGAATGTGCGAATATGTGAAAAGGAAACGACGAGGGAATGGTTGGACGTTGTACGCGCATTAGGCGGTGGTGGATTCGTCTCGTCTCTCGAAGGATGGGTGATCGTGAAGAGCGAGAACTCGATCGTTACACTGAAAGCACGATAAATCCCGGAAGAACGTTTCTTCGAGTCCTTTCTTCGACCGAGTCTTTTCACACGGCCCCCGTTATATTGTCGCGCCCTTTCAAATTATTCACCGAGAGAAATTCTAGCTGCACAGCGACCGAGACAGCCAGGATTCAATGTTTCGTTCGCTTAGACTCCTCTCCCTTTTTTCTTTCTCCGTGAAACTCCTTACGTGCCCGTGAACCGAGCGGAGAAGAAACTTATTCAACAATCCCATCGACGACGTTTGCACCCGGCGATCGCGAAGCACTCCTCCGCGTTTTCCACGGTCGTCTCTCGTGACCACACCCCACCCCTTCGTACGCGTTCCCTTTTAAAACGTCGCGAGATTAAGCGGGAGCTAAGATTCGAAAGGAGACAAGAAGAAAAAAAAAAAGAGAACACAGAGCGTAAGGAGGAGAGAAAATAGTAGAAACGAGCCGGCAGGGCACATTCGATATGGCGGAGCGTGCTCGAGACCGTACCTTGCCGAGGGACATAAAATAATGGAGTGAACAGAGGTCCGTGGGGGATGTGGAAACTCTTCCGACGACGTTTCAAAATGCCTGGTCGCCTTTCGGGGGAGCGAAGTAAGAACTTTCAATGGCAGTTTTTTCTTCGGTTCCGTTGACGAGCACAACCCACAGAAACCGAAGCCCTTCAACGAGGGTTAAGACGTACGTATTCGCGCAACCGCGCACGCGTGCACACAGAGAAACAAGTAGAATGACTCCGTGTGTCTGCAGCCATTTTCTATACGTATTTACTCCGTATGCAATTCAGATAAGGAGATAGAAATTGAACGAAACGACGAGCAAGCGAACGAACGAGCGAGCGAGCGAGCGAGCGAAGAGTAGATTTGGATAGAGAAAAAGAAGAAAGGTAGGGGACAAGGCTGTATACATATGTATGTATCTCTATGTAATGTACACGGCGGCGAACACGGAAACGAATTAAGCGTCAATATAAGAAGGCGGTCGCGGTTCATTTGTAATGGCCGTGTGCTCGTTAATTAAAAAAGATCCGGTCAGACGCGGTGCCGCTGATGAAGCCTCTTGCGCGCGCGCACGATGCAACTTACGCTAAGCGTGTGTGGTACGGCTATATAATACTGGTATCTGCCCTTCTTTTTTCCTTTCTTTTCCTCCGTTTTTTTTCTCTTTTCTTTTCTCTCGTTTCCTCTCCTTCGCCCTTTAGCCATCGAACCAGCGAATGGAGGCGAGGCCAACCCCTTCCGTTCAATGCGTTTGGCTGGAAAAAGCTTTTTATCCAATTTCTCAACGTTGCGTCTCGTTAAACTTCAGGCAAAAGAAATTGTGAACACAGCCTCGCTGATGAGGTCGGCCTGGAGGATTTCGATGGAAGAGATCGTGAAACGTATACTCGTGTGTACGTGTACACGGCTCGTATACACAAGGAGAAGGGAATAATGCGGAGCGGGGAGGAGGTAGGTAGGACGGAGGATAAACGGGTTGTACAAAAATTGCGTACTCCTTTTCTGTCCGATCCAGCGTACAAGAATACGTATGTGTATACAAACACTTTCCACTCGTTCTAAGACACATAATGCATGTATGCACGTAAAAAACGTATGCTTCATTAGGCGTCACGCGTATACTTGTAATATATAGCATGAAGCCTGACAAACGTGGGGGATGTTGAAAGAAGAAAAAAAAGTGAAAAAAAAAAAAAAGAAAACAATTTGGAAAAAAAGTTATGAGAAGAGAAATAAAGGAAACGACGAGAGGGAAACACTGAGCATTCTGGGTGACACTTAAAGCATGCAATTCGAAGTAAACGTAATAATATATGCGTGGTGAGCCTGGCGAACGGCGTGGCGGCTTATAATCGTTCACTTGTTA